GGGTGGGTTGGGCGCCCGCAAACATGGTTAATCCCGCCAAGTTCGATGTGTATCTGTACCAAAATCATGAGCCTTGATTTTCGTTTATAATTGTTTTGTACATAAATCAATGACACGCCGTTGGTTATGTCGTTTGAATATTTTAAATTTGTCATGTCAAATCCTTTTATAGCTTGCAATGCGGTATGAGTTTTTCTCAATGTTTAATGCCGTAGGGTGACGTATATTTGCTAGCATCTACGTCATTTTATCTCTACCACATCTTCTTATTTTTATGTTATAAATATCTGACTGATTAATTTTCTGGACCATGGCAAAATATATTTACTAAAACTATGGTTTTGAACATTCGCAAGCACTATTCACATGCATCGATCAAAGTTCAACTATATACCATTTGTTGTCAGAACATTATAATACAAACATGTACATGAAGCTGTGATTATTTTTTCTCAGATGTTAGCAAACCGAGTTCGTTCCTGTTCATTGCCTTAATGTCTCCTAAATTCGTGTATTTTAATTTTGATATTTAAGTGATTTTGTGTTGATTGCATATTTTTGAAAGTCTTTGTAAAATTTTCCATAATTATCTATTTTTTGAAAATTTAGAGCTTGGAATATTGTAAAGACATGTACATGATGTATCCATTTCAAGAAAAAACCAGATTGTTATTATTATTTTCCCCTTTGGAAGTCGACCTAAGAAGTTGACCGTTTTGTCATCAAAACTTCACTGTACCGTGCTGGACTTTGGCGTGATAAGGAAATAGACGCATGTCTACATCAACCCACCCCTTCTTCTATACTATCCTATAGACCTGGGATAAAAGAACCGCATTAACATTAAATGAAAATAAGTCATTTGAAGATACTCGTTTTCAGAATTTTTTTTATGCCTTTGTATTTTATCAGTTGATATAGATACTTATTTTTAATTTGTGTTAACTACAGACAGAAGCATACGCTATTCTTCCTACATTTAGATGTTTTTATTAACATATCATTTGTAAAATGCTCATTACAATCACGACAGTGTGTTACTTCATATAACGTACCTTAGTTATATCACTACATGTGCATTTTATATACCTTAAAACAAAATCGCTGTTTGGGCTATTTATCAATAAGTGGGTAGTATTATTGTCCTATATAACGATACACATGAGTGATAACTGTAACTTTATTGATGATTTGTAACTCAAGAACTAATCTAAAATACACTAACAAATTAGTTATGAATACGAAAGTTAAAATAATATGTATATCTGATGCAAACACAATTAAATAATAAAGACAGAACAAAATGTTCTAACAAAACTCAATTAATTTGAATCACTTTTGCGTTTGACCTTGCGTCATTAAAATATTGATTCAACACTTCACTATCAACTTGAATGAACACTTCAATGTCATTTTCATGACCTATTATCATGATTTTTTTCCGGTCCCACTTACGGATACAATTACATATAATAGATACACCCCAACATTAACCAATCAGACGTTAAGAAAGTATTTACTTCAAACGGAATAAGCTAACATTTACAAATGAGAAACCCTTAACAGATTTATCCCATTGTAACGTGCACCGTCGGACTAATTAGACCGAGTCTCATGTGACTCGGTAATTAATTATGTTGAAAACAAAAGACCCTGGAATGGTGTCATTTTTAATCAACACCATTGTCCTATATTAGTTATATATAAAGTTGAATTCTTTGATTTGTCGTATTTGCATCATGACGGCTAACAAATTGGACTTCGTTATTTTAGTATTATAGATTTCGCGGGCAGTACATCGACTGAGCATGCGCGAAAGCGTATAAGACACGGATCGATAACGGTCTTCGAATTTGGATATTTTCTCAAAAATTGGCGTTTTCTGTGGAAAAAAGATTGTTTCAAAAACAAATTTAGGAAGTACAAAACACTACATTTATACGTCATATCACAAATATTTCCGACTTTGTATGGTTTCAGAGGAGTTGCGGCTCAATGAAATATGTCTCTTCCTTTAGTAGTATAGATTTTGAGAGAAAAGATATGCATATCGAAACGTGAAGTCGAAGGATAATGCTAGCTTTTTTTCATTCTCTCTAAGAAAGCACATGTAAGCAAATGAATAATGGAACAAGTCGGCAAGATTAAAGAACATCAGTTAGTTCCATAGGAATGTCGAATGTTTGTTAAAAAAACGTCATCCAATAGAAACGAATATGTCAAAAAAAACCAAACATTTTGAAGATGTCATTTTTAGATAATTGTTTGTAAGAGTTTTTTTTTCTATTAAAGCATGATTTATTATCCACAAAACAAGATATTTGACTATACTTTAGAGCCTTTTTGGAATGGTCAGCTTTGTTTGTATTAAGTTTTATATTATTGCAAGAGGAAAGATGCTTATATAATAAGTAGTCTACTCCATATCTGAATCACACCGCCTTAAAAGTAGATATATTCGCAGCAACTCTAAAGCCCGGCTTTGAATGCTGATAACATTAATGTAGGAGTCTTTGTTGCAGGTAATGTTTGTGTCACTCTTGAGTAGCTACTTTTCAAAGATTTTGGGTAAAACATAATATGGTGCAGGAATCTGTTTCACAAATTCCATATAAGTCCGTTAGATATCCCAAGAAAAGAAGAGAATCGGTATATATGATATATTGATAGAACCATCGATCTTCAGCAGAATCTCTGGACACCCTAGTAAATAATAATTACAGTCGAGCATATCAGCATGAACTTACAACCTCAGTATGACTCTCAAGTGATTACTATAGATGAACTACTTGGATCACTCGGCCACCCAGGCACTAAAGTTTAAAAAAAAATTGTGAAGCGTTACACCAATGTTCGAGGTAAGGGGAAGGGTTTTCAAAAATGTCGGACAAAAAGCAAAATAATCGGACAAAAAGCAAAACCGGACAAAAAGCAAATCCCGGACCAAAAGCACCGTATCACTCGACACAAAAGAGTGTGAAACAATTTTAACGAAATAAATACGAAGTCTTAATTTGTTACAAAAAAATAGATGGAAAACAAATATGACAGACAGTAACCACGGCATTCACTAAATTACAGGCTCCTGATTTGGGACAAAAACATAAATAAGTCATCATGTTTAAGCATTTTTGTGTGCGCTCAAACATCTCCTTACCTAGAGTAGTGGTGTAGCAGCATACGAACGTACAAACTGCAAAAATCAACAGTGCTGCAAACAAATAAACTCACTGTATCAAAGTGTTTTTAGCATACCTAAACCATTTCACATTTCTCTTTTCCATTGTCCAATTACACTTTGCCATCCAAACAAACATGTGCATCACTTTCCAAACCTAGGTAAACTGCATAAAAATGGATTATGTCCTCAATTTCGTACCATCATATCTTATCAATTCTGAAATACTTTCTTACTGTTCTGTCTTTCCGTGACACACAGTCATTTAACGTTTGCTTTTAAACCAATTTCCTTTATATATAAACTTATAAAAAATTCGTCAAGGTGTATATCAGTTACTTCATATACAGAAATCACAAAGACGCAACTCGAATCATTTTTAAAAGTCATTTCTTCATTTATGGTGATCATTGTCATTTTGCTTAGTTTCTTCTCTTGTTTCCAATTCTAACATCGGACTCAGACTTGTTTTAAACTGAGCTTAACTGTGCGTATTATTGTGTGTTTGTTTATTTCACATTTGCTAGAGTTATAAATGGACGATAGCGCCTGTCCCAAGTCAGGACCCTCTTGCCTTTGTTTGTCTTGTGTGTTTTTAATTGTGGTGCATTTGTATGTTTCGGAGTTTATTATGGCGTCTAATTCGCTAAAACTAGTATATATTATGTTTAGATGCCCGCTGAATCCCGCCTCCGGATGCGGGATTTTCTCGCTGCGTTGAAGACCATTTGTGGCCATGGACTGTTTTCTGCTCTTTGGTTGGTTTGCTGTCTCTTTGACACATACACCATTTTTATTCTCTATTTTAACAACTACGCAGGGTTCGATAATGAGAATCTCAATTCAGAACAATAAGCTATACGTATACGAAAAAGTATGAAAAACATAATAAACTTAAAAGTATTTTCAAAAAGTGGAAGTCCGTTAAACTGACAAAATCAAATGTTACCAAACAACATATAGGCTACAAAATATTCATCCCAAATCCGGGTTAACCTTTTTCTCTAATCAATCAACGTTACGGTTCAATCGGAATGTGCATTTACTGTATCTAGTTTAATAAAATTAAAATTGATATTGTAATGTAGACCTGTATCTTTAAAGTTTTGAGGTGACATTATTGTTCAAATATATCTGCGTATTTTAAATATTGTAAAATAGTGCAACACATACGTGTTGCAGGTTCTCAATATTGACGACTTCAAGTTTAAACCTCCTGGTTGCACCTGTGCAAATTCCCTATTCACATATAATCCGTCAGGCCACGTTATTGTATAATTACTGGTGATTTCAACATTGTCAAAAACACTTCACTGTGAAATGTGTTTCCCAAAGGCCCGAAAAATCGTGAACCTAAATCCATCAATTGTGATTTTTTTTTATTTTTCTTTCTAGAGTAAAGGTACTTTAACCATGAGATTTAAGATGATTTGTCACATGTCTTGCACACACTCTGGTATGCTTCAAGTTGGACCAATTTCAAACTAATGTCTCTGTATACTGTTGCAAGGATTCGTTGATGTTACACAATTTCTATATACAAAAAGGGCTTATCATGCGTTATTTTTTAATGTTGTTGTCTGTTTTTGTGTGACTCCTGAATTTTGAATGTCCCTTGGCATCTTATCTCTCTCTTTATTTTTATCTTATGAGCAGGATAAAACAAAAACTTAAAATTTTTTTATTTTTACACGTGGACGTCATACAAAGTATACTCATATATATTTAATTAACAGGTAAGGATTTAATATTTTTAAAAAACCTAAAGTTACGTAGAAACATGAGATAAATCTATAATATATTTAACCTATATATACTTTTCATACCGAGTTCTTAGAAGTCAAATAAAGATAAATTAGACAAAACGATTAGATAGCTTGAAAGGCGGATTATTCGTTTTACCTCACAGAAGTTTTACAACTGTGGATCAATTATTGGTATGTTCACTTATTTAAGAACATGTAGTTATTTTAAAATTTTATAAGAATAAAAGCGAGAATTCTGGGCCAAAACCCTCAGATGGTCTAGCATTTGGCGAGTTATTACTAGATCCATAATCTAGCCCATCTTAACAATGTCAAAATTTAAGTCACACAAATGTGAAAATAACATAACAGTCAACAATATTGGTATTACCCCTTAAGATAGGAAATTTAGCGGTGCACCGATTTTGTTAGAATGTATAGCTTTTATTTTAAAAAATTTTGCCATTGAAAAAAATAATTTATATTGATAGAAGAGATAAATTCATTTAACCATGATTGTTTTGTCAAAGAAAACATGTCTACAAAAAAGCACTAATTTAATTATGTGAACCGTGGTCATAAAAATATATTACTATATTGTTGTTAACTATGACAAAAAATCATCTTTGTGTGAGCAGGTTCAAATATAGGTATATGTATATATAACGTTAAAAAGCTTTTTACACATGTATTGTACACACAAAATATATTCATAGATAATTAACAGGTAAGAATTATCTACTAGTATTTTAAACGCTTACGTTGTGTAGAAATAGGTCATAAATCTCTGATGAATTTTTCCTATATATACCTTTCAAAGCTGAATTCTTAGAAGTGAGATCTACGTAAGAAATATATATATTTTTTATCTTGAAAGGAGGTTTTGCAGAAAACTATATAACATTGATCGAAATTGGTATGTTTACATATTTATCTTTAATATTTACCCCAAATTGAATTCAACCCAATTATTTGAACTTCAAGTATGTCAATTTTTAAATGTTGGGTTTAACCTATCACCAGAATTAAAATGCTCTATCACTAAATGTGAACAGATATACCGGTAATTATATATATATATATATATATCTGTTATAATCTTTCCTGGAATAGAATCAAAAAGAATTTCTTAATGTTTCGACTACGGTTTAACTGTGAATGTAAACATAGCAACTTATACCAATAATTGTTAACTATATTATATTGAAGAAAAAAAAAAAAAAAAAAAAGAATAGGAAAAAGTTTCAATAATCGGTGAAGAAATTGATTTTTTTCCCATAGTATACATATGCAAACAATATTTTAAATCATGTAAGGATACCGATTTTTAGATCTCGTAAATCGATTGGGAATAGACAAATCAAGGAAAGAAATAGAACTTGAGAAAATAGCAGGAATCTCAAAAGAAGCGATACAGTGTGTTTCGACAGGGTAAGAATCTTAAGCTATGCATGCATCCCCCCATGCGATCTCGCACTCAGTACAAATGTGCCAATCGGTAAAATTACATATCAGACGACTGTACTGATATCTAAAGATCTAAGGCTGCGAAAACATGTCGCTAGAGAGTTGAAACACGGATAAATTGTTTTGACCGTAAAACTTATGTAGTGACGATTTCGGTTGTTCATCTCAAACCTCTGTTCGAGTAGCTTTTTGTGGAAGGAGCTCACACTTATTAATGAAGTGCATATATTGCAAATATGCATGAATTTAACGTATTAACTGAGATCTTTCAACGCCATGTGATGGATTAGTCGGTATGGTATTGCTGAGAAATGGGAAGTTGAAAATTGGTAAGGTGAAATCATAAATATGTCAATAGATTCTAGTTTGAAGTCGTTCATATGTCAATGTACCGAGAAATATTAAGAAATGAAGGACACAATTTTTAATTAAGGAGCGTCAAACCAACAACTTTTGTAGTAGGAGACTGCTAATATATATATATAATAATGGCAAACACTTTGCAATAAAAAATGTACTATAAAAAATACCGAAATCCAATATAAATTAAAAAATGAAGAGTCCAAAAAAACCTGACAAAACCACACGTTTGACTATATCTTACGTAAATAAATGGATTGACTTGAAAACAACTGTCATACTCTTTATTTTGTACAGGCATTTTTCGGAGAAAATGGGGGGGGGGGGGGGGGTTAACATCTCACTTGTTTGTGTTTGACAGTTGTTTATAGTTCAGTTACATTGACAAAATTGTGTGGGCAACTCAAACATATTCATTGGTTAACGTGACAATAATTTGGATCCAGCTGCCAAACGTATGTAATAGAGAGGTGAAAGTTACCAAAGGTACTTTCAAACATACATATCATAGAATTACAATTCAATTGATATAAAAAAAAATCAAACAAACAGACAATTAAATATAACAATTAGCCGATAATGTACACATTGTTAGATGTATTTCTATTTGTATCCATCTGATGAGTAAACCCTTTTCAACTCATTTTTATAGTTCGTTCTTATGTTGTACTGTTACACCACTGTCCCAGGTTAGGGGGAGGGTTGGGATCCCGCTTACATGTTTAACCCCTCCACATTCTGTATGTATGTGCCTGTCCTAAGTCAGGAGCCTGTAATTCAGTGGTTGTCGTTCTCAATATTGACGACTTCAAGTTAAAACCTCATGGTTGCAACTGTGCAAGTTCCCCATTCATATATAATCCGTCAGGCCACGTTATTGTATAATTACTGGTGACTTCAACATTGTCAATAACACTTCTCTGTGAAATGTGTTTCCCAAAACCCCGAAAAATCGTGAACCTAAATCCATCAGTTGGAAACACAACTTTAAAAAACTAATGGAATCAGTCGAGGATTATGCCAGGCAATGGGCTAAACATATTAAACGCGAGAAAGAAGACGTAGATACTCTTTCCGAATAGATAAAGGCTATGATGTCGTTGATAAAAATCAGAATTAAAAAAAACTGAATGGGGTTTATGAATATTTATGCTACATCAATCTTTAAAATCCCAAAAGTAGCAAAACAATTGTCCTACCTCCATAACAAATATGTTGTTGTTCCCGCAGATACAGCCCCAATTAATATCGTTTTTTGTGTGTAAATCACATTACATAAACTGCTTGATAGATGAATTAGGAATTGGCAATTCATTTAGAAACTCTACATATACTCCCACGACACATATCAAGGAGGAACACCTCGATAATCATAGGTCTGTTCTATGTTCCTTTGGAATTTCAACCAAAGATGAAGAACTTGACATAAGTGTCCTTTCACGCCACATTATTTGCTGGCTTTTCCAGGTGCTCCACGAAACTTCTTTCTAAATTATTAACATTGATTTTATCAACAATCAAAGCCGGGCTTCAAAGTTATTGTGAATCGACATATTTAAGAGGTGGCGTGAAACAGATGTGGATACTAAAAAATTCCAAAGATCTGTTAGAGTAGATACAATCAAAGACTTTTTCATCTTGCAAAAGCATTAAAATATTTGATTTTTCTACACTTTACACTGGTATTGCCCATTCCAAACTAAAAGACAAATTGAAAGAGTTGGCACTGCTTTGTTTCATAAAACAGAATGGCCAAAGTAGAAATAAGTATCTTGTCTTAAGTAAGGATAAATCGTACTTTGTAAAATATCACTCTGATTCAAACAAACAATTGACATTATCAAGATGCTTGATTTCTTGATTGACAACATATTTATTACGTTTGGGGAACCTGTTTTTCAACAAACAAACATCATTCCCATTGGAGCTTACTTTGCTCCTCTTCTTGTTCCTTTATTCATATGAGACCGAATTCATACAGGATCTTCTAAGGAAGAATTGAAAAGAAGTTAGCAGTATCCGTTAATTTCTATTTCCACTAAATAAGTGATGTTCTCTCACTAAATAATGCAAAATTTGTTGACTTTGTTGAACGCATCTAGGATACAACAGATACAATTAAGTCAGCCTCATATCTTGATTTATATCTCAAAATTGACAATGAGGGTCTGTTGAAAACATAACTTTACGACAAAAGGGATGATATCAGGTTCACAATTGAGAACTTTCCATTTCTTTGTAGCAACATTCCAGCAGCGCCTGCATACGGGGTATATATATCTCTAGATACGATATTCTAGGGCTTGTATTTCCTATTGTGATTTCCTTGATAGAGGGTTGCTGCTCACAAAGATTCTAATAAAGCAAGAGTTCCAAGTGGGGAAGTTGAAATCATCCCTTCGTAAATTTTACGGACGTCATCACGAGTTAGTTGACCGTTGTGAAATAACTGTTTCACAGATTACGACGGATATGTCCCAATTGTCGTAACTACAATCCCGTCACCTTTTCCCAGATTATGACCTACCGAATTAGACTTATCATCGGGTTTGTACTTACAAGAGCAACATGCGTACGACGGGTGCCACATGTGGAGCAGGATGAGCTTATCCTTCCAGAACATCTGGGGTTCGTTTTACTCAGTCTTTAGTTTCCTAGGTTGTGTTTTGTGTACCGTTTTTTGTCTGTTTGTCTTTTTTAGCCATGGCGTTGTCAGTTTATTTTCGAGTTGAATGTCCCATTGGTATCTTTCGCCTCTGTTAAGATAACTTATAATGTTTAATGCACATATCGTACACTAACTTTATAAAGCTTGGATAGATTTACGTGAAGCTTTGCACAACTGTTGTATTTGGTAAAAGTAATTAAATTCTGATTGCGAATTTTTTTTCTTCTTCTTTCTAGAGTAAAGGGACTTTAACCATCAGATTTAAGATGATTTGTCACATATCTTGCACAAACGCTGGTATGCTTTGATCAATTTCAAACTAATATCACCGTATACTGTTGCAAGGATTCGTTGATGTTACACAATTTCTATATACAAAAAAGGGCTTATCATGAGTTTTTGTGTAATGGTGTTGTCTGTTTTTGTGTGACTCCTGAATTTTGAATGTCCCTTGTCATCTTCTCTCGCTTTTCTTTATCTTATGAGCCGGATAAAACAAAAGTTATCAAGGCTTAAAATATTTTTACTTTAACACATGTACGTCAAACAAAGTAAACTCAAATATATTTATTTAACAGGGAAGGATTTAATATTTTACAAAAACCTAGTTACGTAGAAACATGATATAAATCTATAGAATAATATATCTTACCTATATATACTTTTCATACCGAGTTCTCAGAAGTCAAATAAAGGTAAAATAGACAAAACGATTTGATAGCTTAAAAGGAGGATTATTCGTTTTACCTCACAGAAGTTTTACAACTGTGGATCAATTATTGGTATGTTCACTTATTTAAGAACATGTAGTTATTTAAAAATTTTATTAGAATGAAAGCGAGAATTTTGGGCCAAAACCCTCAGACGCTTTGATGGTCTAGCATTTGGCGAGTTATTACTAGATCCATTGCATAATCTAGCCCATCTTAACAATGTCAAAATTTAAGTCACAAAAATGTGAAAATAACATAACAGTCAACAATATTGGTATTACCCCTTAAGATAGAAAATTTAGCGGTGCACCGATTTTGTTAGATTGTTAAGAGACAAATCAAGGAAAGAAACAGAACCTGAGAAAATAGCAAAAGAAGCGAGACAGGGTGTTTCGACAGAGTAAGCATCTAAAGCTATGCATGCATCACCCCAATGCGAATTTACTGTCAGTAAAAATATGGCAATCAGTAAAAATTACAGATCAGACGAATGTACTGATATCTAAAGATCTAAGGCAGCGAAAACATGTCGCTAGAGAGTTGAGACACGGACACATTGTTTCGGTCAACCAATTTGTGATGTTGACCGTAAAACTTATGAAGTGACGATTTCAGTCGTTCTTCTCATACCTCTGTTCGAGCAGCTTTTTGTGTAAGGAGCTCACACTTGTTAATAAAGTGCATATATTGCAAATATGCATGAATTTAAGGTATTAACTGAAATTTTAAATGTGGTGGAGCAGTGGGTATGTTACTGCTGAGAAAAGGGAAGTTGACAATTGGAAAGGTGAAATCATAAATATGTCAATAGATTCTAGTTTGAAGTCGTCCATCTGTGTCAATATCGAGGAAAATATCAAGTAGGGCGCTTCAAACCAACAACTGTTGTCGTATGTATCTGCCTATGATAATGGCAAACCTTTTTCAATATAAAAAAATGTATTAACAAAAATACCGAACTTCAAGAAAGATTCAAAAATGAGGAAGTCCATAAAACCTGACAAAATATGTTAGGGGAGGGGGGTGGTAAACCTGGTTTTATAGGACAGCTAGTTAAACATCCCACTTGTTTGACAGTTGTTTATAGTTCAGTTACATTGACAAAATTGTGTGAGCAACCAAATCATATACATTGGTTAACGTGACAATAATTTGGATCCATCTGCCAAACTTATGTGAAAGAGAATTACAACTCTACTGATATATAAAAAAATCAAACAAAC